AGGTAGGAAGTTGTACAAAATAATTTATGGGTGACCAACGGGGTATTTTGAAAACTTATTTACGTACGGATAAAGGGATGTAAAATCTAGGTAACGGATCCTTTCATTTTCCCGGACTTTGTGATAAAATTTCAATAAATTCGTCCGACCCCCATAAAAAGCGTCGCGTACGTTTAAGGGTTCCATCAAATGAGGTAGATGTTGTTCAAAGTCTAGATACGCAGTGGTTTTTGCGAGACGTTTGAACTCGCACTCCCATATACATCGAACGTGTCGTTGTGGCCCCGACAAGCGTTCCATACGTGCTATGTGTTCCTCGTACAGATCACCCATGGTTTTGTCATTATATGGTGACTTGAGATCCCGATTTTTGATGCAGAGACAGCCGTGGAAAACACAACCAAGAAATTCGACGCAGAACTCTTTATTGTTTTCTACATACCAGCCGTCTACCGACATATTAAAAATGACCTTTTCACCACCGTTACGGGCGTGCTGTATATGTCGATTTTCACTATAACTGAGATATTGCATGTAGCGTATAGCCACGTTGGAATAGCGACGGTGAACTGTATACATCCCCTGGGGCTCTATACCTATCGTGAAGGGGGGTAAAAAAATTCGACGGTAGATTACACAAAGATGCAATCGTGACAGCTTTTTGAAAAGGTGAGATTTGGGTCAGATCCATGAATAATTTACGGAACCGACCACACCCATAGCGTAATAAATTGACGTCATCCCTACAGTAGGCTGTAAGTTCATTTTTTGTGTTAAAATGATTGTTGGCCACTCGACGTTCAGTGTGCCATTTCCGCACCTTCTCACGTTCGGAAGGTGTCATGGAAGACGGTTCGTAAAAACACAAATCAGGGAGAACCCCATCATATTCTAAATGTTCTGATTTAAGGAACGCATATGGAAAAATACCCTTGGACACGGGTAGATCAAACGTCTTGCTAAACTGTGAAAGTTTCATGGGCATGAAGGCTAAGCTATCTAAAAAGCGTATATTATCCTCAATGATATACAAAGAATTTTAGAACCATTGGCAATTATTCGGGGCTGAATTCTCGTATGCGTGACAAAGTATCTCAACACAAATAAACCATCAAAAGCTTGACTGTTGTGGGCTATAAATCTTGAATCTCTGTGCACTAGACGTGTTTGATATTTACCTGAACAGTTTCGTACCACTTCGGTATGAAGTATCCATCGACAAAAGTCAGCGAGACAGTGTTTACCGTAAAAAATTCTCTCTCTCTCTCGGGATTCTTCGCACCGCAACCATCACACTGTTCTGTGATGTCCTTGGTGATGCATACCGGAAACACACGATGCGCTATGCATAATATGGGTACATGAATATTATTTTCGTCCAACATTGTCTCAAAATCATAAAAAACAAAGTAATTGATTTGGTTTACATAGTTGTGTGCAATTACGACATCTCCGTACATCACAAATATGTTTATTGACAGAGTCTGCTTTTTGTTCTTGTGTGTCTATCGTGGTATAACATTTTAAGCATGCTTTATATTTTGTACACGTTGAAACAGTGTACTGTGGTAAATTTTGTTTGTGCCGATCAAAACAAGTCTGTCCTCTAAAATATCTGTGACATGAGGCACACTGTATTCGCGCGTGCGCAAGCGAACACCACAACGGATGTTTACAACTTCTGCATACAGACGCACACACATGCTTTTTCATGCTCTTAAAAGGTTTGTCACAATTTTCACAGTAATAGCTACAGTCGAACACACTATTAATTTTTTTTATATAATAGAAATGACCTGCCATTAAATATAATCTTATAACAGGTACACCCGGCGTGGCATCGCCTCTGTATATAATACAGTTAGCCGACTGACCATCATAAATAAGAATCTGATATTCAGCTTTCAAATGGTGTTGAAATTTTTCCCATTCATTCCGACCAGTCGGTAATAATGGATTGACACCAACCTCTTCATACAGGTGCATAGCCAAATTAACTTGTAACGGATTTAGTTTCGGATTAGTCTTTACATGCTTGTAATATTTTGTTTGTTCGGGTGTCTGCTCCGACCTTTGGTAATACATTTCGTTCATACCCAAAATAATACATTGTCCGAAACATGTTTGATATCCATTGTTGGCCACTGGCGATAGAAATGTTCTCTTTTTGGCTTTCATGAATGCTTCGTTTAAGCAAATACGACTAGGAAAGCCGCCACCCGTTTTAGCTGGTACATATACTGCAGATATTGTGGTTTCGTTATCTAAAATGAAGGTTTTATTCGACTGCATAATTTTCATAATTTCATTCAGAATCAACTCTATTGTCAGTTCTTCAAAAGGCCGAAACGAAATATAGATAGGTGTGTCTAAAGTTGGGTGGTTTATGGTTAACCTTACTCTCTCGCCCGGCTGTACGTCGAAATTAGTGCGGATGGTGTTTAAAATCTGCGTGATCAGTTGATCTAGCCAGTCGGGCGATAGTGATTTGACGCTGTTAACAATCTCCAAATTTAATACTTCAGAGGCAATGTTGAATTTCCTAGAAAAACGTCTCTCGATGGATACAAGCTTTATGAAATCTGGTGGCTGCTCAGCATCGGCACCACGCCCCTCTTGACAAATCTTAAATGAAATATATTAAGCTTTTTAGTCTTTAAAAACCTCGGGTGTTAAGACATCTAAAATGTCGACTTCAAAATTACTCTCACACATGTCAAACAATGACGTAAAATTGTTAGAAGACTCGTCATCAATTAGTAGCGCCATAAGGGGATCTATACTAGTACGGTTATGCAATATCGCAGGTTCTTCGTCAATTATGGGGTAGATATGTGCGGGGTAAGTGGAGTTCACACTACTCATACTATCACCGTTTTTAAAAGTCACGGAATCTCCATCAATTAACCTACTGGAGGTTGCGTTCTTAATATTACCATTGACTATATCTGTTGTAAAATGGTTACTAACCTCTAATGTTTCACTGTCTGAAAATAGGTCACAATCCGAAAACCGATCACTCTGCACCCCAATATTAATGTCGTCATCATTATCAAAACTTTCCTCCGACAAAGTTCGTTTTAACACCGGCTCGACCTGAGCTTGATTATTTGTCTCGATTTTGTCGAGGATATCACAAACTTGCCGGACCTGGTCTACGGACCAAACATCGAATTCGTCTGTAATTTCTAGAATCTGATCCCATTGTATCTGGCTATATTCTTCAAATTCAGACATTCTGTTACAAACAAACAAAAACAATTAGTATATATGCTTGACCTTACAAATGAATTTAAAAAACAAAACCATAAAAAAACAATTAGCCTATCGACACGGCATTACAAATTTATTTTAAAAAACAAAACAAAACGTATTTATTGGTAAGGTGTAAAAAAAAACATAATGTAACAGCTACGCAAAAAATCTTTGTAAAAAAGAAAATGAACATACCTGTTTAAAATAACCAATACTGTTATAAAGGTTATCCTTCTGTTGGTAACAAGTTTGAAAAAATGATAAGCGGCGGTTAAAAGTCTTGCTATATACCCCCCTCCCCACCCGATAAATAACCAATGGGTGTTGTGTATTCCCCAGCCGATTTACATATTAGACGTCTGGGTCAGATGACGTGGTCACCGTTTTGTGACGTATTTTAAAATACGTCTTATATTTTTTGTGCGTCAAACATTGGGTTTCGAAAAGCCTGATTCATTAAGCTGTTCGTTAGTTGAAGAGGGGGGTGGGGGTTGGGGAGTGGTGGTATTACGTTTTATTTCATTGATACATCTATTTTCTTAAACGTGTATGGAACACGACCTCATTACACGTGGCGGGAAACTTGGGACTGGCAGTTGGTATGATTCAAATATCCAATCGGTACCAGGCGTTTCTAGGTTCATTTGCATTTTTAAGTGAACATATAGTTGGTCCCGAGTTAGTGCCATATTTATATACGGCACGGGAGTTTTTAATACATATTCACGGTTGTCAAGGGGTATCACCCAGAGAGTCGAATGAGGGTTATAAAAGTCATAGGTTACGTTTACACATGGGCGGGTGCTTAAAAGAAGACCCTCATTGACAGTTGGATTTCAACAGATCAGTATCGTGTAGAGTGGATGACGGGGTACAATTGCACTACAACACACGGTAGGCCACCTATCATATCTTCAATAGTCGAAGTCACCGTGTAGGCCGTTAAACACTCTCTCTCTCTCTCTCCCTATATCTCTCGTAAGGTCAATATATTATATACAACTATTCAGCTGATGTTTTGTCCTCATTACTCCACCCAACACATTACGCCACGGCACCGAAGTGTGTGTGTATGGGGGGGGCATCACGGGGTTAAGTGCGTAAGATGCTGGGTTACTAGACTTGAGGTCGTGCGTTGGATCCATGTACTGGCCGACAAAGTTCATCTCGATTTTCCAGCCCACCCCCCCCCCCCCGCCCTTGTCAGTGTTGCTGGACGGAGGGCCTGGCAAGGCTAGTCCCTCGGATGATACGAAAAACTGAGGTCCCATGTATACATTAACAGGCACGTAAAAGATCCCTTGGCAGTTGGAATTCGATATAAGTGTAGGGGATAGGGCCGCTGCCTGGGGAAAATTCCCCTTATACCACACTGTATGGCGTATGCCCGTCTTCATTACCCCAGAATAGGAGCAGAACAGTAGGACGTTAAACCCCATTTCATTTCTTTCTGTTTTTTAAATGTATAATCTGTTAATAGAATTTAACAGTGCATTTGTAATACAATTTACCACTCATTTTCTTCTCTTTTTTTAAAAAAACAAAAACAAAAAAAATAATAGTTATTATATTGGCAGCCCATCGCAGACAATTCTCTTTAAGTTTGGAAATAAAACAAAGTCAGCAAAAAGAAACCCAACCCCAACCCAACCATCTGTCGATTATTAAACGGTCACCCCCCCCCCCACCGCTAACCGGTATAAGAATGGCGACAACCGACTCTTCTACCTCAGCACTCAAGGAAAGAAAGGAAGGACAGAAAGGAACGCTAAAGAAAACAACAAGTAAAAAATGTAAGTTTTTTTTATTTAACTAGGACGTTTTCAAACTTTAAAAAACCTTTTTTTTTTAAACACATCGGTTATTATCTTATTATATTTTTGTCATTCGTTTTTTTTCTTAGGAATATTGAAAAGGTTCGGGAATATCTATACGCCACGGCATCTTTGATGCTGTGCGCGCCAACGGCCTTAAGTGCAGAGACGGCACACAAAATTCTTGTAATCCGTGACGAGGCGGATAGATTATTAAAGGGGTTTGGGCCTGAAATGCAGTTACCACCCCCAACTAGAGACGAAGAAAAGGAAAGGTGAGTTGTTTCGATTTTTGTTTTGGTTTACATAATGATAAAAACACAAAAAATAATAGCTATTACCAACATTTTGAGAGAACCTAGAGCTAATTCACTTCTATTTTGCGACCCTAAACGCCGACCCATCTGTCTCGAATAGGTATGTTCTTTTTTTTATATAGAACAGTGATTTTTTCACAACTAAACATCATATTACGCTGTGGAGATGCTTGGGATGTTTTTAAAAAGTAGGGTGAAGGGTGGGGAGTCATTACACTTAATTTATACTAAATCAATCAACTTTTTTTTATTTCTGCTGAACTGGATCATGTGTGTACGTTTTGAAAGTCTATACAAGTGTAAGTCTTAGAGAGGCCAACCAAGGCGAAATTACCCTATAGTACCGTATGTCGCCGGGTCGCTTTATTAGAAGCATTGTAGGGGAACCGGTGTACCATTAACACCATTTCATTTCATTTGTTTACATTTGAAACATACTACCGTCAGATAAAGGTCACTAATGTATCAATATATCACATCAGCGGTGTGGAAGTGTGGTGTGTGTGTGGGGCGGTATCTGGTAACTTATTAAATTATTTATGACCGATGAAAAAATACGAGCGTCTCTTTACATGTCAGAAGCTCACAGTGACCACATATGGTATCTATCTATCTTGGTTTGGTTAATTGGGGGTGATGCATTTATAATACTTTAATAAAACGTTATTTCCATTGAAAAGTACGCACGTGTCTCCTCAAGTTGGAAGCTTACAAAACACATATGACATCAATCACGCTAAAGGTTTGGGGAAATGAGTGGGTCGTATTTATGTTACTTTAATAAATTATTTATTTCCGTTTGAAACAGTACTCACATCCGTTACAAATTTGGACACTTACAAGCGACACATTGCAGGTTGTGGAATGTACTCTGTTTTTTAGTTAGGAGTAACATTGGTCGTGTATATGTTATAGGAGGAAATAACGATAAATTTAATTTTTTATATTTTTTTTTTCTTTCTAGCCTCATGGCATATATCAAATATGTTCAAATCCGGATGCAGTTTATCACAGATAGCTGCTATATATATAACCATATAATAGAGGAGCTAGAGACTTATAGAATTAAAATAGATTGGAACTATTAAAACAAGTGTTTTGTTAATGTTTTTAGAATCATACTTCTTTGATCAACAGGGAAAAAAGCGAGTCTTTTTAACAGGCTAATGGTAATTATTGACAAAATAAAAAAAAAAAACATGGGGTGATTATTGTACCTTCTTCAATCCAAGCTATATTCCTATTGATCAAAGAATAAATAAATCGCATAAAAACAATTTTCTTTTTTATCTCAAAGAAGCAAAGAAAACGGGAAACGGGTTTTGGACGGAGGCTGTGTGACTATTGCAGGCATGTATTAATTCTAGGATGTATGAGTACTGTAGGGAGGGTAGGGTGGAATGTCTGGGTGCTGGATGGAGGAGTCTGTTGGTTGGAGGTGGGTGGGGTAGCTTAACCGTATAAAAGGGTGTGGGCTGGGCGTATGCAGGTGGGCGGGACATGCGCGGGCGGGCGGACGGTGCGCGGGTTCGAGGTGAACTTCGCACGCTCATTACGGTGACCCCCCCCCCCCCCCCATATCCACAATTCAAATTTAAACTCACAACTTCATATTACCTACTTGCCACGGGTTTCCATCATCACTACAATTAACCGTTAACCCCACTCTTTTTAAAAAAAAGGCGGACAACATTACAAACACAAACACACCCAACAATTCAAATTTAAACGGATATGGTGTTCATATTACGTCGTTGTCACGTGATTCTATCGTAACTAGGGTCAACAACCACGCCCATAATAAAAGGGGGATAACTCTTCTGACGTTGCTAAGGTAAACAAAACAGGGGAAGATAACCCTACCGGAAATACCCCCTCAGAGTGCCCTCCTTTACTACTGGCTGCATGGTTAGTTGAGATATTTACTTATCCAGTCGACGCATGCGTTGTAGCCCGAAATACCCCTTTACTCGATTGTCACTATTTTTGGGATTGAGAGAATTCAATTCCGGAACTTTCAATCGAGTTACCGCCATGAACAAAGTCTAAGGGAGGTAACTAGTCCTAACTAAAACAAGATGTTGACTTGTATATGAAATTAATTTAAGAATTGCCATTTCAGAAATTCCATCTGCATTGCCAGTTCAATATCCAACACCCTTAAAAAAATATTACAAATTTATTGTAAAATGTCTCTCTTCATGGGCCATATCTATGGTTTTTTTTTAATAAAACCTAATTCGTCGTCACGATTCATATTTGTTTATAATAATGCATGAATTATGAGCAACGATCTCGGGCCCTCCGTAGGTTGACGACTATTTGGTTCTAGGTGACTTGTGAAATGAAAATGAAATAAAATGGGGTTTAACGTCCTACTCCGAACTGGGCTAATGAAGACGGACATATGCCATAGTGTGTCATGAGGAAAATTTTGCCCGGACAGCGGCACTAAACGGCTTACTCTTATATCGAATTCCAACCGTCAATGGATCTTTAACGTGCACGCCAATGTGTACACGGGACCTCGGTTTTTCGTCCCATCCGAACCATGCCCTCCACCCTGTATCACTGACATGGGGGAACCACGCCGGGAAGAGTCAGACACAAAGAAATACTTTAATGGTCTGCAGAAAATAAATGATTTTAAAAACCGAAGTTGTGATGTGTATCAAAGGACTTTTTAACTAAAGGACTTTTTAACTAACTTTTATTATATGAGATCTGTGCTAAAGGATTTGTTTTAACTAACTTTTATTATATGGAAAGAACCACACGGACATTTTTATTTGTAAATACTCCACGGATCCTGCTATGTGGTTTTTACTGCGAGAACTTCGCTTTTCCACATTAAACAGTGGATTCTTTTTCCCACGGTTTTTTTTCGATCCGCTGCGATGGCATCAAACAGCTGGATCTCCTATTTTAACTTGTTTTCATTATGACAAAGTGAGAAGATGACCCGCCCTCTCTTCCCACGACAACGATTTTAAAACCGTGTTTTAACGTGATTTTTAGATATACAAGAACTTTTTATTATTTTAAATCTGTTTTAAAGTGACTTTTAGATATACAAGAACTTTTAATTATTTTAAATCTGTTTTAAAGTGACTTTTAGATATACAAGAACTTTTTATTATTTAGCGTTTTTACCTTACTTCTATATTTTACTCATTCAGATGTTAATAACTTAATTAAATCAACCTGTCCATAATATCATGCATTATGTATTGGACGTTATGTATTAAACAACAACAACGAGTAAAAGGGAGAAGCATGTCTTCCGGAAGAGGGTCTGCCCTTGGACCCCGGGAAAATAAGGTCTGCTAAGATTAGGTCTTCTGAAACCTGGGGCGGGGGGCAGCTTTAGATAGACGTTACTATCTAACCACAAAGAATTTCATATGTACAACATGTTATCCAGTATTAAAATAGCTTCTTTTTTTTTTATTAAAGAGTTATGTATTCTATCACAGACCCAGCAGCAAAAAAAAAATAAAAAATAAAAAAATCAAGTACTGGTAGTAATGTTGGTGAATAAGCTTTTTTTTCTATTTATTGATGAACATGATTTTTTTTCTGGAGAATTGATAACTGAAATAAATTAACTTTTAGTCAATCCCCATGCTTAAAACATTAATAGAATTGATTGTGTATATCTGAAATAGACATGACCGAAGCACAAAATAGTGCCAATATGCCGACGTCAAATCTAGAGTTTTAGATGTTGTTAATGATTCTTACAATATTGCAAAAATTTCACTAATAGGTGCGTCGGGCAATGTAAAATCAAAAACTATTTCATCTATCTTCTGCGACATCGCATGGAGAAATGAAATGGTTTTTTTTTTTATCGCACGTCAGCTCCAACCGGGCTATATTGCACCAAACATATGGTGTTGCATGGAAAAGGTGCCCGCGAAGGAATTAGTGGTACAGTAGGTTAGTTTACAGCATCTGTACAATAACCAGATCCTAACATCTGGGGCAACAAACATATCTCTTGAATCAATTTCTTTCCTGCGGCGCCCGAGAAAGAAGCACACTCCCAAACGGAACTGAAATCCAAGTTTTGTACAAGCACGGACAATAAAAGGAATTTTGCAGTTTCACGGATTCATTCCTGTATCTATATCGAGACTGTGGGTGTACAGATTGAGCACAGAAGCCGCCAATCCAGGACTTGAACTGGTATCACAGAGTGACGACGTAAAAGCCTACATAGACCTTGACGGCGAACAATCAGTGCCACTTAAAATGAAGTTTCAGTTTTTTTGTATGTTGTCTTTACGATGATCGTCCAAGGATCGGTATTGTCGACGAAATTTCAAAAGAATTTGGGGACAATAGGACAGATTTTATGCAACAACATGAAACTGCTAAACAGTTCCAATGGTCATCTGTAAAGGAGAAGTGACGGATTCACGAGTCGAATATTCTTTGATGTTTTGAAACACTGTTACTTCATCATGAAGCTACTACATCAACAGAAATGACATCCCAAAAATTTTCTGGGTGTTCATTGATGACGAAAATAATTTAAGACCTAATAAGTAATATATGATCCGACTGATGAAAAGAGGATAACTTGCAGTTTTAATCAGAGTTAGATATCTTCAGGAAAGGGCGGCAGGTTACTATGTATCCTCAGAACTTACCCATGAACATAATCCTGCTTTAAGTATAAAAGACACTGATTTTCAATATCGTGTAGATAATTGAACCAATTAGAGAATTAAATGCAACTAAGCAGAGTATCAGCGGAATTTTGTTTTTGAATATTATTCCTATTGAAGAACAATCACATGATAATTATGAGGGAATCAATATCAGCCAAGTGTCTTTGAAGGAGTCGATTTGTACATTCATCAGGGCCTTGTATGAGCTATAATCAAGTGAATAATGTTGGTTGAAGGAAGTGTTTCAAACCCTTTTTTCAAAGTCTTATGCATATTCCAACTACCTGAACGTAGCAGAACTTAGCATTGACAAGGGGAAACCACGCCGAAATATCGAGATGAACTTTCTCGGCCAATGCAGGGATCGAACACCCGACCTCCAGGCTAGCGAGCCAGCGCCTTACCCACGTGATCCCCAGATTCAGATGTAAAACATTTTGTAGACACAGATATCACCAAAGAAACATATTACGTCAAGACATACTAAAATCATTAATATGATTTTTTTTGTCCAGACCACCAATACAGAAGCCATTGTATTTACTTTTATGAAGAGCTTCATTTGATGTCCAAAATAAGATTTAAATATGGAAGAAGGTCAATAAAATATAATGCTTCTATAACCACCGGCATTGAGTGATTTATTCATCCCTAAATCCTAATTTTAAAACAGGTATTTGCATCGAATGTAAAGCAGGCTTTTTATGTATGAAGTATTGAAATACACCTAGCTCTCCACTGCACCTTATCCGATTTTAGTTACACATTTTTTTGTTTTAAAATAATTTCAAATATAAATATCGAATGAATCCTGGATAAAACTGAAACTATGGTTTACTATTTCAGATTAATATGAAATATTTTATTAAGATTAATGTAATTGATTTACAAACTAAAATTACTGTTATGGTTTCTGTTGGAAAACGAAAGTAATTGGTGTCGTGAACGCTTCATGGATTCCAACTCAATGCGTTCCGAAGTATCCTATTTTCCGCCATTGCGGAGTCCAGTCAACCGAAGAAATCCACACGAAACTTAGCGGCCCTTTTTTCAGAGTAGGAGCGGAGACACCTTTTCGAGTTGATTTTGTGCTTGTTGTGTAAATAAAGATCTAATTTATAATTTCTATGACATCTGAAGCCTAAATAGTTTCCCCAAGTGCTTTATTCACACATAGTAAGGAACTCAAAGGGGGTTACTTTCTTAGTAAACCTTCCCTTTAGGCTGCCAGATATTAACATTACATTATAATTTTCTTTCTGTTTTCTGTAGTTCAGAGGAGTGTGTCAATTTTTATATACACAGGGTTGTGATATGGTTGGAAAGGGCTTTGATGGTGCAAGCAACGTGTCTGGTATGCAGATCATTCTCAGCGAGAAAAGGGGCGGATAGCTGTATATTTTATTAATTAATATATTTGGCAAGTTAGGAGTTTCAAACATATTCACAAATATATTATATACTATTCAAAAAAAGTAGGGGATATTTGATTTTGGGGGCATAATACTAAAATATGCAAATGACTACGAAAAAAGTCACTATAGAACCTAACAGAAGAAACATTTCCAGTTACATGTGACGCCCAAACGCACCAATAGCTACCGCATGGAATGCAGGTGATGCTTGGGATCATCATGGGGGTCCAACCCAAGATTTGCACGACTCTGACTTTGAATGTTACAGTCATTGTGGCATTGAATTCCAGGGTGGAAACATCAGTTTAATTGTTTTAGTGACCAGAAAACAAATTTTGATATGCGTCGGCTTACCCAAAATGAAAGGTTACGTGCCCTTGGCATGCTACAGATCGGCACAACACAGGCGGTTGTGGCGCGGACGATGAATGTTTCTCAGTCTGTCATAAGCAGGCTATAGTCCAGATACCGTGATACACAATCTGTACAGGACAGACCACGCTCAGGTCGACCAAGGGCGACAACTCAAGCCCAGGATCGATTTATCCGTACCTTGGCCTTGAGAAATCGTGTCATCACAGCAAATCAGATCAGCGCTCGTCTTCAAACAGACACTGGTGTGAGAGTGAGTGGCCAGACGATTCGGAATCGACTGCATAGGGGTCACCTTCGCGCCCGACGTCCTCGCGTGATCCCTTGTTTGAGAGATCATCACATTCAGGCAAGACGTCGTTGGTGTAGGGATCGTCAACACTGGGATAATCGACGCTGGAGCAATGTGATGTTTTCAGATGAGTCAAGGTTCACTGTTGATTTTTTGGACAGACGTAGGAGGGTGTGGCGTCGTCGAAACGAGCGCTTCCAAGACGTTAACGTCATCAGACATGATCGATTTGGGGGTGGTTCTGTTATGGTGTGGGGAGGCATCACTGTTGCTGGAAGAACGGCTTTACATGTTGTTGCAGGGCGTGTTACAGGCCAGTACTACCGGGACAACATCTTGGCAGTCCATGTTGTGCCGTTCGCACGACGTCATGGCCGCCGTTTCATCTTCCAGGATGACAACGCAAGATGTCACAGGGCCAGGATCGTTACAGGTTACCTCCAACAACAGAACATCACCTTGGCCAGCACTGAGTCCCGACCTCTCCCCCATCGAGCATGTCTGGGACATGCTTGGACAGAGGTTACGTCAACGTCAACAACGTCCTGCCAATGTCCAAGAACTTGCTGCTGCGTTGCAACAGGAATGGGACAATCTGGACCAAAATGACCTTAGACGTCTCATTAGGAGTATGCCACGTCGGATCAATGCTTGTTTGGCAAACAGAGGAGGATTTACCCGTTACTGACTTGGTTGTGATGCTGTGGTAACTTTGCTGTTTGACCCCGGGTATCATTTTACCCTTATAATGGTCAATCTGTGCCTTACTTAGTCTAACGATCATTTGGAATAAATCGATGAATGTGAACTTCATTTCATTTTGTCATTTGTTTCTTCGTCAGTTTCATTAGGTGACTTTAATAACACTTAAAAATCAAATATCCCCTACTTTTTTTGAATAGTATATATAATGTGTACTTAATTCAACTTAGGGTATAAATGACATATTGTTATATAAAAAAGAGTTAAATAGCCACAACATAGCCAGATCTATATGTCAACAACATGTTAACAGATATTTCATGGGAATGTTCTTCAGTAAATGTCCATATAACCATATAAGGGTGGGTTTTGACGTTATTGTGCTCAATTAACCAGTCACTCTAATTATTTACATCATATTTGACCAATTAGATACTTGAATGTCCAAAACCAGTAGATACAAAATTATGATGCTCGTGAGAATTCACCAGACAGCGCTTGGTTTTAGAAGAAGAAAGATGTAAGAGCTTCTATCAGAAAACTCGCCCAGCGAGGCTGCATGAATAGGGTGGAGAATGACTAGTTAATATTGAAATATGTACTATGCTTGTAGCCATGTATCCGGCAATGCTATATAAAATGTAAAAACGAACTGTTGCATTGTTATTCCTGGTAAGACAACCGTCTTAAGAAACCAGTAAGAAGCAAACACACAACGTGAAGGAGAAGCAAAGACAGAAATATGTAGTAAAAAAAGATGCATGGGTAGTTTGTAAGATGTGGCGACCGGTCTGACATTACGCCGCTCTCCATGTCGGACAGAAGGCCCATGGTGCTACATATATACAATTAAAATTTTCGATAAAAATTTGTCTCTTTTTAAATATATGGTAATTATTTTAGAGACGGGTTAATGCATTCAGAGAGTCGTATGTTAACATTCGAGTTAACACTACCAATGGTTTAGAAAGGCAGCATCGGGAATTGAAAGAAAACTACTTGAAGAATTCAACTTTATCTAAAACTCTGAATGGGATGATCGAAATTTTAATGGAAAAGTTTTTTTCTGATTCTATGAACAGGTACCAAACTTCAATTGTCAAAATAATGAATGATTCTTAATAAATGATTAGTGATTTGATAGTCAAAGTAATTAATGCCTTTCTTTGTATTGAATTTTATACATATTGCTTAAATATCAATCAGATCATTAACATCATTCAATATACCCTTGCTTTCTAATATATCAAATTTTTATGATATATTATAGATATAAAAGATACAATACAGAAAGCCTTCATCAGTACAAGAACTATTCCACAGTTGTTCCTGAATTTTTACAAAACAGACCGAAAACATTTGTAACAACATTTGTAACACACGGTATGGTGAGACTAGGAAGAATTGTTGAAAAAGATGACATCATTTGTAATAGTACCGACACATTCATCATATTAAATAAATAGCAGAATGTGTCATATATTATTAGATTTGATACTGAAGATGAACTATGCTCATGTGAGGACTTCCAAGAAAAGTTTTTGGCCCTGTAAGCATCTACTCTCAGTCATTGCACATTTTCCACAGTTCTCATGGAATGCACTTCCTACAAAGTTCACGTCAAATCCATACTTCATGGTTGATACTGATTTCATCATCGAGAATTCAGAAAATGATAGTCAAGAACATATACATGTACAACAACCAATTAAACGTGACCTTCAACAATGCATATTTTCGAAACCAGGACACAAATTTAACTTATAATTTATGGATAAAAATAAATACAATGCAATATACCATTTAATATAATAGCATTTAAATATTAACATATCAACATTTGCAATTTGCATAACTATTATTTTATACCTGTCCGAATAACCAATAACGCAAATGTCGAACTAAATTTATGATTATTACTTGAAACCCTTTCGTTTCGTAAAAGCTGACATAAGACATAATTATTTATATTGGCTTCATTGATTTTCACATTCCACACCCATCTTGTTCTTTTAATCGAAAGCCTATTACGGTAGGTGTATTGTGGGCTTATTCGAATTTATTTAGAACAGTCAAGGCGTTGGATTTTTTACAGTTCAGGAATAAATATTGCTGATAAACATTTGGTCACTGTGGCGTTTGGGAAGATTAAGAGTGTTTTCGATAATTGGCAAAATTGTTATTCGGGCAAGTCTATTTTTGCGCACTTGTACGTGACAAGGAGTAGGGTCTCCTATCCAACCTCGTGGGTTTTCTCCGGGTCCTCCGGTTTCGCCCCACTGCCAATTGTTGAAATAAAATTTAACCATATGTTAGTCCCGAAATGACCTAGTTTGTTTCGAGTGGACGTTTAACCCGATATTTGCGCGTTTTCTTATATAAATTAAGAATATTAACTTATATATCCTATAAATATAGAACATCATTGCCTTATACCACATATAGAACCCAAACGGCCTCGCTTTATAGTGAATATTTTTCTTAAGTTTGAAAGATTTTGGTGTATTTTTTAAATTAATTTCCATTTAAAAAAAAAAGATATTCGAGTGATTTCTTAAATAAATTAAGAATATTATCCTATATATCCAAGAAATTGAGAAAATCATTGCCCTCAACTATCTATCATACGCATGTGGCATATTCACATTTCCTCTAGAATATAACTAGATACGGGGGACATCTTGTTCGCGATAGACATCGACGCGAAATCTAAAGGATGTAAGCTGCTGAATGGGCAAATCGCTGCCCTGACCATCACACTGTTTTATAACTAGATACGGAGGACATCTTGTTCGCGATAGACATCGACGCGAAATCTAAAGGATGTAAGCTGCCGAGTAGTAAAAAAAGGCAAATCGCTGCCCTGACATCACACTGTTTGATTGGGGGTAATTATACTTGCTGTATTGTATTTTTTTAAAAGTTAAATCCTTTGTGCCTTCTACAACCACCAACATATAAATAAGAAAGGGGGCTTATTGTGTCTTCAAATAGCGGAGGTACTATTGAAGAATTTGTCATCACCAGTGACGTTTCCAGGATTCAACAAGATGTCCTGTGATATGTATGGTTGGAAAGAGCTTTGATGGGTGCAAGCAACGTGTCTGGTATGCAGATCATTCTCAGCGAGAAAAGGGGCGGGGGGATTTTACCACGTGTCTCCATAACTACAACGCCGAGCTCACGTCGCCTAATCCCTAAATTAAAAATTAAATTCCCCTAGGTATCCAACAATTCTGTCAATGAAAGTGAATGTCCGCAATGGCATCACGCTTAAAACGGAAAGAACAGACTATTTTTTTGTTCACGTAAAGAAGCTTTTAAGTGTCTGCATAATATATGTCCGATTAAACTGAACAATCACAGAAAGAACGGGTTATTTTTTTGTTCCATGTATAGAAGCTTTTAAGTGTCTGCATAACATATGTCCGGTTAAACTGAACAATCTTGTGAATCATTTCAAAGGGAATGGTGTGCAACCACACGATCTGTAAAAGACAATCCGACATTGCACCGATAATTGCGGACACTCGCGTTAAAGAGAGGCGTACAGCAACAAGATCTCTAAAAAAAAGACACAAAACAAAACGGCAATGCACTGACTGTGTGTAGTTTATGACTTTATTATTTATGCGGAAATAAACTGTATAGTGGTACCAGAAAACAGATGTTAAACCAAGAAAAAGATTTATACATCATGTTATTTAATAATATCTGTAGAAGTAGCCGATACGCGAAAAAATGTCCCTTTGCTAAACTTTATCACAATGCAGAAGCCTGCCACTGATTTGTGTTATTTTAATTGTGTTATTTATGCGGAAATAAACTGTATAGTGGTACCAGAAAACAGATGTTAAACCAAGAAAAAGATTTATACATCATGTTATTTAATAATATCTGTAGAAGTAGCCGATACGCGAAAAAATGTCCCTTTGCTAAACTTTATCACAATGCAGAAGCCTGCCACTGATTTGTGTTATTTAATTCTTTAAAAAAAATAGTGATATCCGCACATTTGCCAGACGAATGCTTCAATCAAGGAGTCCGAAGATCAATTTGAGCAGAGGTATTACTGCAGAAGGCTGTTCAACCAAGCTCCGTGACAATTACTTGCGGCAGGGTCGGATCCTGCCCCCGCAATTTGACAACAGGGTTCCCGCGGTCCTTGAAAATCCTTGAATATCCTTAAATTTAAAATTTCATTTTCAAGGTCTTGAATATCCTTGAATTTCGCGGAAATAGGAAAATATCCTTGAATTTCAGTTGATCCTTAATTTTGTTTCAAATGTCTTCAATTCCTTTTAAATATGAGATTATAACGATAGTTGGTAATGTTTTGGTTATTTTAAGATGAAAAATTGTAACTTTGGGCTAAACAATGTGATTGAAAATCCTTGAATTTGACGTATATTTATCCGTGAATATCCTTGAAAAAATGTTTGACGAAGCCGCGTGAACCCTGGACAATTTTAGCTTCCGACAAATTGGGGTCATTAACATCGCAAAAATATGCTGTACGCGTACTTTTCCATTAAAAATGCCCAGTAAATGAAATGAAATGAGGTTTAACGTCCTACTGTTCTGTTCAGCCCTGGGCTAATGAAGACGGGCACATACGCCATGCTATGAGGGAAATTTTGCCCTGACAGCGGCACTACGGCCTATTTTGATGCTTATACCTTATACAGATTAAAAGTAGACGGACGGAATGTTGGCCTACTCAATAAGTACCTGAGAGTGCGGATTCTCTCCCTAAATTAAGATAGTGATCGAAGAACCAGCCATTACTATAAATGGACAAGTTTCAAAATTCCTCTAACTAGAACACGAATGCTCACGACAAACGGGGTTCATATAGAATACTATTTATACAGTCGTTTGAAAGGAAAATATCAAACTCCTCATCGCAAGACGAGTCTCCTAAGTTTATCTGCAAAATGCTATATTCCCTAGCCTTCCCAGTATTCGGCTTGGACAGTAAAGCAACGTGGACCAGCATGTCTTGTTAAATGACACGTTGGCAGCTCCCAAGCGAAAACATTGTTGGTAATGATAAAAGGGAGATAATCCTAGAAATGAATTATTTAGGTCTTTTGACATTTTTAAACAAATATTCGTTTATTTCTTAGTTAAACCTTATTATATCTATACAGCGTAAATAGTTAATGATTAGTCTACTATGACTATTAGAAATATTTGTATTGTTGTACAGATATCCGATGCTTTGCGTAATTGACCCACTTTATGAACAACATTACATACAAGGGAGGTAATTATTTAATACGGATACAGACCACCAATTGGTTTCTTTTTCCGTTCTCGAGTGCCCAAAATATTTGTTTATTTTACAGTAAAACCCTATTATGTGTATACAGCTTAAATGTGTAAATATTATTGTACTAAAATTATTAGATATATATGCATTTCTAATTAGATATCGGATGTTTTGCGCATTTGACCTATTTTATGAACATTCCTATTTAAAAGAGAGGTGATTAATTTTCCTGTCTCGGTACCCCAAATATTTCCAAAAAAACTGATTAATTCGTTGGAGTGTTTAAAATTCTAAAAGTCTGTTTCAGATTATGGTAGTGTTTAATAGAACGTTGTCAACAAAATCTTCATTATCCCAGTCGGTGCAGAAAATGAAATGGAATGAGGTTTAATCTCCATCTGTTCTGCTCCGACTGGGATAAGACGGACATATGCCATACAGTGTGCTATGAGGGAAATTGTGCCTGGGCAGCGGCGTTACGCCCTACTCTTGTATCGAATTCCAACTGCCAAGGGATATTTTATGTGTAATTGGGATGTTAAATCCCAATGTATTTAAAGCCGCTATTCGTCCTAAGCATTTTCTGGAAAAGGTCAAATAATCCACGGGTTGATTATTTGATATTTAATAAGCCCGGGTGGATCAGAAAAGTAGGACGTTAAACTTCATTTTATTCCTTTAATTAAAAAAAGGGTCAATATATCAATGGTGGATAATTACCTGATCTGGTGTCAATCCGATGAGAAAGAAGCACATCAAAATATTTCAGCTTAAATTATAGGTGATGATGGTTGGTTTTAACCATAAATTATTGGTGATGCTGGTTGGTTTTCACCATAAATTACATGTGATTATATGTGATGCTTGTTGGTTTTCACCATAAATTATAGGTGATGATGGTTGGTTTTCACTATAAATTATAGGTGATGATGGTTGGTTTTCACCATAAATTATTGGTGATGGTGATGGTGGTTGCCGCTGTCCGGGCAAAATTTCCCTCATAGCACACTGTATGGTGTATGTCTGTCTTCATTAGCCCAGGTTAGGAACAGAACAGTAGGACGTTAAACCTCATTTCATTTCATTTCATATCATTTCTCTATTAACCAGGGGGATCACGTGGCTAAGTGGGTAAGACGCTGGCTCGCTAGCCTGGAGGTCGGGTGTTCGATCCCTGCATTGGTCGAGACAGTTCATCGGGATTTTTTCCGGCGTGGTTTCCCCTTGTCAGTGATGCAAGACGGAGGGCCTGACAAGGACAGCTGTCTAATCCTTCGGATAGGACGAAAAACCGAGGTCCCGTTTACACATTGACGTGCACGTAAAAGATCCCTTGGCAGTTGGAATTCGATATAAGAGTAGGCCGTAGCGCCGCTGCCCGGGCAAATTTTCCCTTGTAGCACACTGTATGACGTTCGTCTTCATTAGCCCAGGTTAGGAGCAGAACAGTAGGGCGTTAAGCCCCCATTTCATTTCATTTCATATCAGTTCTTTATTAACCAGGTTATTGCCCGCAGTCTTCATTACCCGCCAGGTAAGACGTTACACCCCATTTAATCCCATTTAATTCCTCCTTTATCCTGAATAGTGCAGCAAAGTAGGACGTTAAACCCCATTCTATTTACACCTCGTACCATACAATAATTACACAATTAATTTTAACTAATTTATATAACACAAAATACATATTAAAACAAACAACAAATGGGAGATAACTTTACTTTAAAATATACATATTTAAAACTCAACTGATAAATATAACAGTACTTGGAATGATAAGTGAAGAGCCCCGGGGAAGAACGATGTGAGTCACTTTTTCAACGAACCCTAGTTAATGGCGCCATCTGGTAGCAAATTGTATAAGCTTTCTGTGGAACAATCAATTTTAAAGTAAAAACGATCGGAGTCACATCAAACCAAGGCCCTTCTGAAATGACCTCCCGGACAAACAAGTCCATCGTACCCTTTATGTCACCTTAATTTGGGTGAAAAGTGGAAGTCAGTTGTTGGACTGGTAATTATGATTCGTATTAAACATCATTTTAAAGTTGTAGTTAAACCCACTCGTTCAGGGTTCCCGCGGTCCTTGAAAATCCTTGAATATCCTTAAATTTAAAATTTCATTTTCAAGGTCTTGAATATCCTTGAATTTCGCGGAAATAGGAAAATATCCTTGAATTTCAGTTGAGATCCTTAATTTTGTTTCAAATGTCTTCAATTCCTTTTAAATATGAGATTATAACGATAGTTGGTAATGTTTTGGTTATTTTTAAGATGAAAAATTGTAACTTTAGGCTAAAAAATGTCCTTGAAAATCCTTGAATTTGACGTATATTTATCCTTGAAAATTTTTTTGACGAAGCCGAGGGAACCCTGTCGTTGTTCTGTTCGTGTCAAGCATTCTCGTCCAAAAAATGTGACTTCGATCGTTCTTCCCCTGGACTCCTCAACTGTTTTCTGTGTATTACATTATTATGGAGCGATCCAAATAACTTTTCTGACAATTTCATTTCAAAATGAAAAATATCACTAAACTTTAACGAATTTGGTTGAAATTGCATACCATAACTCGGACAGTGCTTCGTGTAGGCTAATGGTTAGGTGATTTGCGACATGATGGGATTAATACGAATCTTGAAACAAGAATTGTACGCACAAAGACATAAGCTGCATTGTTTTGTTTTTTTAAAAAAACAGTGATATTGCACACATTAAAGATGCATTATATAAGAGTTCAAACATAGATAATGACAAATTCTTCCATTTACTTGATTCTGAGCGAATTAAATTATTAAATGGCGATCGTGTATCAATCCATTTAAATCTCGGTCATCCGATAATCTAGGGAATTAATTATTAGCATTGTCATTTGCATAAATTTTCAAACAATTATTTGAAGGCAAAATAAAGACCTGCAATTTACAGATGTATTTCTTACATAATGCATTTTTTATAAAAAAAATTGTAAAAAAAAAGCCTGAGAAATAATCGTGAACAACAGGTCAGATAGTTGTACACAGGGCTACGAGTCGTTCTCACAGAATTACTATTTTTGATTTCATGCTTGATTAGCACTCGCCTACAACCTTCAAAAATTCATCATATTAACACCTTTTTAACCAATCCTATCTAAACAGATCCTATTTCGTTTCGTTATTTATATTTCAAAATTTAGATTTACCTGCTCTCATAACACTAGAATCTGAAAGAGTTCTTATACAACCAACGTTCGGGTGGTACAAAAAACCGAGGTCCCATGTACAGATTGGCGTACACGTAAAAGAACCCTTGGCAATTGGAATCCGATATGAGTAGGGAGTAGCGACGTTGCCCCCCCCCCCCCCCCAGCAAACTGAATGGCGTATACCATGCTTCATTAGCCCAGCATGAGCAGAACAGCGAGACCTTAAACACCCTTTTTATTTCCCTTCGATACATTACATTAATATTCTCAGACTTCAGTGCGTCGTATGTAATAACATAACTAATAGCTAGCTCAGACAATTCAATTGTGAGAATTCGGTGCGTCTTATCTACTGATTCCGTGTTGTAAAAGATTTCCATTCACCCAAAATCTTGTAAATTGATCAGTAACGTTGCTTTGTTAACATAACATTAACATTGTGAGTTTCCAGTGCGCCTTATCTACAGCAGTATTATTTAAATAACATTCGCCTTAAACAGATTGTAAAAATAATTCACAAATTGAAGAAGCAGCAAGCAAAAAGCATAGATTTTCTTTAAAGATACATTCCCGTGTACAAAAAAGGGTGATTTGATGATATATTTGGCCTAAAAACATATCAAACTAATTAATTTATCATAAATCTGCTTCAAATCCTTCTCAAAATATTGTAATTGTCAAGGAATACCCTTGCTATAAAAAAATCGATCAAAAGAGGTCATGTTTGTGTCACGTGACTTACGGGTGCGAAGTCGGAGGAGAATTCATTGTATACACAAGACGATGTTGTCTTTAATCGCTGACTTTTTATTACAAATATCGAATCCTACTTAAATTCTCGGATTATCCACTGCCCGTGTCCTTTTCCGTGATTTTTATCTCAGAAAGTATTGTACGTCTAATTCTTCATAAAGTTTATCAACTTGTACATCAAGCGCTCAATCTCCGCGGGCTGTCTATTAGGGGAACCCTGACATTTTTGTCCTGTATACCTCCATGGATGTTTGTCAGGGAATCCAGTATTTTTCTAGTAAGATTGGATATCTCTACTTTCAATATATACCAAAATTGCCATACTTTTAATGGAAATAACCACCCGATAAATACTTTTCTGGGAACCTATCTTTAAAATCCAAACACCCAAATATCATATTTAAAAAAAACCCAAAGAAATCTAAACAGCCAAATATCATATTTAAAAACCCCAAAGTAATTAAAAATAAAAATATTACTCAATTTTCATATTATTCGATCGTACCATTGAGAGATGATAATTTTTCATAGATGCTCATTTTCTGGTCGAATGGACGTTTAGTTTCAAACTGTTTGATATTTAACAGAGACATAGAAAGCTTAGATGGGTCCTTATATTCTGTGACGTATGTCATTTGTTGATCGTCTTCTCTTGTAACGTCATTTTCTTCCTTGTAGCGATAGGTGTAATCTAGAAAATATAAAAATATGAATTATCTCAAAGGAGCTAAACCACTAATATTTGGCATCTAGAAATTGACACAAATGGGTCACAACACATGTAATAATGTAATATGAATGTATATAAACTGATTTACATTCAATCGTTTCTGTTTTTACTGTAATTTCTAATCAGTTATATTCGGCGAAATACGCCAGAAGTCTCAATCGAATGGCACTCTCTAGCGTCTGATTATTCCAGTCTACAACGATAGTATTTATTGCGCATGCTCTCCAGATAAGAATATGGCGTGAGTGTTTGATATGACTTGTGGAATATGTCTAGCCTCGTTCTTCGAGTCCCTTATTACAAATGGCACTGAAACGCATTATGGTACACGATTCGTGTACCAATGGTAAAATGTTTATTTTGTCTTAAATATTGGATGTCAGAAGCCCATCTTTTCCCGGTAAGATCACGACACCAATGTTGATTTAAACTGACAAATAATTTGTGTTTTCAAAGTCCAAGGCTTTGGATGATACTGAGTTAGAGACTTAGCTACTTTAACCTTGTGTTTTTGTAATAATATACATCTTCAATAGAAGGCTTGATCTCGCTTTAACTACGTACATCTTATCAAGGCCTTCACGTAATACCCTGTACATTTCGACACTAATTTTGATTGGGTATTCACCCAGCTTGTGAATCTATCAGATTCCTCGATCGTCCCGAGTACCAAGTCTCGCGTTTTCAAACTAAAATGTCTATCTGTGATAATCGAGTTGCAAAGTTCAAGGTTCGTTCAATGTCAAGGTTTCGGTGGAGGTCGCCATGTCACAACCTCTGATTGGACGCTACTGTTCACGTGTCTGTAGATATCGTAGCTATAAGTTCGGGAATTGTGAAGTAATCTAGCAACGTCCAGATGTTGTAAAGCGGGAATTTCATATTTCCTAAGAAAGTTAAAACATAATTATTTCTATGTCTTTTGCTCAATAGGTTATCAACTCACTATTATACGACCATGGGCATTATTTCCTACCCTTAAAAATCATTGACACAGGAAATAATAACACAATTACCTCCCTTGTTTTCCTATTGCCTCCATGCATTAGCTAATTTCAAACGTTGGAATTTGAAGTTGAAAATGATATTTTTGCCAATTTCTCAGCTGGCAATAGTGAATTATAGGATTAATAGGATTATTCTTTAACACGGTAGGACGGTTTATTTTAATAAATTTTAAAAATATAACTTAAAAATATGAAATTGCAGCTTTAAAGGACATGAATAAGATACGGAGAAATAGAGTATAACTCTCACTTGACACGAAATATATCTTTTCGGGTCAACATAGGATTTAATTTTATTTCAATAATTCGTTTGTGTGTAGGTGTGTTTGGCAGAGGGGGTGAGAAAACTAACGAGGTTGAACAGGGGACTCTATTACTTGTCACGTTCAAGCTAGGAATCAGAACAAAGCCACGCGACTTAATCACAGACATTATGATCTAAACTAAAACGCACGCGTTCAACTATTCGGCTACCCAAACCCCGTCCCCTTACCTAGTCCCCCCCCCACCCCACACACACACACACACTACACAGTATAGCATGAGGTATATTTTAGCTAGAAGACGGGCAAACGCCATACAGTGTGCTATGAGGTATGAGGTAAATTGTGGCCAGGCAGCTGCGCTACGGTTTACTCTTATATAAAATTCTAACTGCCAGGGGATCTTTTACGTACACTATAATCCGTTGTCCCTTGCCATGCCCTTTATTCGACATCACTTAGAAGGATAAAAATCACGATGACCATTTCTCAGCCAAACCGTCGGATGGTTGTGATTTTGAACGGATTGAAACACCATCGTCATTTAATAATTTAATTTTAAATGAATAATCAAACCTTTGTTTACTTTCGCAAGAGAGTGAGAGAGAAATGGGGTTTAACGTCCACTCGACAAAAACTAGGTCATTTCGGGACTAACATATGGTTTAATTTTTTTTTATTTACATAATCTTTAGCAGTGGGAGGAAACCGGGGGACCCGGAGAAAACCCACGAGGTTGGACAGGCGACCCTACTCCTTGCCACGTACAACCGGGGATTCGAGACCACGCCAGTCGACTCAATGACAGACTTTATGATACAGCGCGCGCACGCTAACCATTCAGCCATCCAACCCCCCTACTTTCGTAAGAACTGTAGCAATGAAAATCGAGACTCCGCTATTCTTGAAACAGTGATAACTTCGCTCAGAATGAAGTAATTGGACTGATAATTTCAATATATTCATTTTGCATTATCTATTTATTGATTTTACGTACCTGGTTGTTTTCCTGTAATGACGCGTGTCATTGACTGCCACATGTAGGAGAACACATTCATATCAACTTCCTGTTTAGATGGCGGATCTTCGATAGACCTGTTCATCACGTCCATTAAAATGGCCAGAAACAGATTGGTAAGTAGAATCGTTACCCCGATAACAAATAAACTAAAATATATAGTTTCCATGTGACTCATTGCTACTTCCGCTCCAGTCGTCTTGAACGTCGGATCTCCCATCAGCCCTACAAACATAGTTTCCATGCACGTGATCACCGACTTGTATGGATCTCCAGTGCGGCCAAAAAGGAAATATCCAGCCGAGGAGAAACTTAAGAGGTTGATGCCAATGAATGTGGCAAAGCCCGGGAAAACCTTAATGGTCTGTCCCAGTACACTGAATACCTTGAACGTTATGTCTGTGTACGCCATTGCCTTCAATAAACGCAGCGTTGCTATGGTTACTAGCACACCTAAAACATAAACGAAGGCATAGTCCCAAATCACAACATGGTAAAAATTGACAAATTCCCGGTCATTTTCCTCAAAGGCTGCTAAAGCCTGACTTGTGTATTGGATGCGTAGAATATAGAAAACCATGGCAACCAGTGAAACACCAACCATTATGAATTCCACTATGTTCCAGAACTTGGAGAAGAACAACCACTTCTGCTTGGCGAACCTTATACCCATCAGGATTACACTGACGGCGATGTATACCATCGTGACGATCTCACAAACTAGAATAAACTTGCCAAGTGTTCCTTCGTGTTGCGATGGTCGGAAGGGGAAAATGTTTTCATAAGTGACCACTCCGCCTGTTTCGGGGAACTCCGTCAAGATGCTGACGTAGACGAACATGTTTATGTCTATATTGTAGAGGGTGAACTCAAAGAAGACGGCTCGCGTTTGTCTATCAATCCAGCGATTCTTAAAAATCTCATTTAACGATTCTGTTGAGACAATCTTGTTGACGTCTAAGTTAGCAATATATCCTCCACCGCCATATAGAGTTAACAAGCCAGCTATTGGAGCTCCCCAGATACTGGTAGCCGATGTGAACTTCCAGGCATCGATGGTCAAGGTACTTTCTTCTGCATCAGAACATGGTTGTGGTTTCCAGGTAGGGCAATAATTACCCGTATCTTCCCCCATGACTTCGTAGGCAGGTATACACGTGGTATGACCAATATATGGATAACTACAATTACCTGTAAATCAATAAAACCATATATGTCACATACTACTTTCTGTCATAACTTTATCCGATAATGAACTGATATGGAGTTTAACGTCCTACTGATCTGCACCAACTAGGCTTATGGAAATGGGCATACATCGTACAGTGTGCTATCAGGGAAATTTTGCCCGGACAGTGGCACTACGGCTTACTCTTATATCGAATTCCAACTGTCACGTGTTCTTTTATGTGCACGCCAATGTGTACACGTGACCTGTTTGTCGTCCCATTCAAACAACTAGACACTGTACTTACCAGGTCTTCCGTCCTGCACCAGTCACTGGGGGAACCTAGGTTTTTTCTACCTATCCGAAAGACTAGACGCTCTCCAGGCTTCACCACTGACAACGGAAAGTACGCCTGAAAACTCTAGGAACTTTCTCAGCCAACTCTAGGGTCGATCAGGGACCACAAATTACACACTGGGCCACAACATTAAGTTTACGCACTGCGTTGTATCATAAGGTCTGGCATTGAGTCAACTGGGGTGGTTTCGATTCCCCTGTTTTACGTGACAAGGGGTAAGGTCGCCTGTCCAACCTCTTGGGTTTTCTCCGGTTTCCTCCCACTACTAAAGACCCCTACGCGCAAGCGAATTATTGAAATACAATTGAACCATATGTTAGTCCCTAAATGACTTAGTTTGTGTCGAGTGGGCGTTAAACCCCCTTCTATCTCTCCTGTCTGTTGGCTGGTCAACTTAGTGAATTATAAAAATAAAAGTTTACCGATTCTGGCTCTGACTTGTCTTAATCTAGGCGGCCCCACCTTCAGATTGGCACTGTTGTAAGAGAACCGACGTTGTGTTGCTGTCATCCGAATTCCCCTATAGTCTGTTTCAGGAAACAATGCCGGCAGTGCTGTTTTATTCATCCATTCAAAGTAATGACTTGATTGAATAACCTACGAAATTACAAATAAAATCATAATATATTCTTAATATCGACATTCTAGCTAAAGAAAATAAACATAATTTATTGGAGGGGTTATAATAGTAAGTGCAGGTGGCCTGCCCCACACACAATTACACAAAACAAATCTACGGACAAGACACAACACACAGAAATCACATCAGATTAAGTGAATGGATCCGGGGGCTAGCCGCACACGTCCACTGCTCTATACAGTCTCGGGCCTATAGTGATACAGGCTTCACTCCAAAATGAAAACTAACAATAAGAAATATAACCCCAAAAAATTGTGTAATACTAGTACTTATACTTGACTTGTGCTTTCGTAAAAATGGTCTTGAGAATTTTCTAGGGACGGTATTTTTATAAGTTTCTTACGTAAGAAAAAGTGAAGCATTACTTTGTGCTTACTTTAAGAATTTTCTAGGAACCGGAACCTGGTAGTTCGCCAGACCCTCTCTATAGCCCTGGTTGTACCATAAGTTATAAGGAATCAATAGAGGGAGGTTCCTGGTTCGGTCCGAGATGTTGGCCAAGAAAGTACATCGGGATTTTCTAGCGTGGTTCGCTCGTGTCAGTACAGAGGGTCTGGCAAGGGATACAGTATAGTCGTTCGGATGCGCAGAAAAACTTATTGGCGTGCACGTGAAAGAACCATTGTCAGTAGGTCATAACGTCGCTGTCCGGCCAAAATTTCCTTCATAGCACACTGTATGACGTACAACCATTATCTCAGTCGGCGTTGACAACAACGACGTTAAAGGATAAATAGAAAACGTCCGTGCATCACCATGTTTTTATAAGGTATAGAATGAATATAAATAAGGGAATGTACGGACTATTTCTATTTTTCTAGTGTTTTCTTATCTAGGGACATTCAATTACTTTTTTGAATTGTCAGATATCCTCTTACAGTCTCATATAACAACTTTTGGTCTTCGAAGGATTTATTAGTGAGCAGAAATTCGCCCGTGTATCTGTTATCACTCGTTACTTCAGTCAGTTATATAGAGGGATAACTCGTGTTTTCCTTTTGCGTTCGTCACTTCCGATTGTTGAAACCTTTATTAGCCTACGCATCTATCGTAGCAATGATCTCTGTGTTAAAAATTATATTTGGAACGCGTTTAACCAGTTACAGGATATCACATATGTGATATAGACTGACATCAATATTGTCCTTTAAATCGCATTTCATTTGATTGTTTTGCGGGGATCACGTGGCTAAGTGGGTAAGACGCTGGCTCGCTAACCTGGAGGTCGGGTGTTCGATCCCTGCATTGGCCGAGAAAGTTCATCCAGATTTTCCGGCGTGGTTCCCCCTTGTCAGTGATGCAGGACGGAAGGCCTGACAAGGACACTTGTCTAGTCCTTCGGATGAGACGAAAAACCGAGGTCCCGTGTATACATTGGAATGCACGTAAAAGATCCCTTGGCAGTTGGAATTCTATATAAGAGTAGGCGATAGTGCCAATGCCCGGGCGACATTTCCTTCACACTGTATGGCGTATACCCGTCTTCAATAGCCCAGGTTAGGAGCAGAACAGTAGGACGTTAAACCCCATTTTATTTCATTTTGATTGTGTTGCTCACCTTGTCATACATACGATATGGTTTAGGTGGATCCAGGAAGTTATCTTGTATATATGTATGTAGATTATACGACTGAGTATCACGATTACTATACAATATACACGACAACAGGAACAAGAACAAGATATTCAATATTAACTCCTTTATCACATTCTTCATCTGGTTATCTCGAAGTTTCTGTGCTTTAATATGTTTGAAATCTTGATCTTGTGTTGGCTGATAAGATGATGTTTGTCGTCTTTCTGTAAATAAATTAGTTAAATGCGATCATGTAATAGTGTATGGTATCACTGATGCCATGTTTGGAAGGGGATAAAATTGAATTATTGTGGACAGGAAGTGACGTAATACGGCGGTAAAACGGCTTGGAAGGGGGCTAAATCTAAGACCGGGTCAATTTTTGGCAAGGTCGCTGCGACGTAAATAAGGTTAGGGCTCGTGGTTGTAGGGGGGGGGGGGTCACGGTGATTAATTGGATAAAACGCCGACTCGCTAACCTGGAGGTTGGGTGTTCGATCCCTGCATTGGCCGAGAAAGTTCATCCAAATTTTCCGGCGTGGTTCCCCCTGACAGGGAAAGCTATGTAGTCGTTCGGATAGTACGAAAAACCGAGGTCCCGTGTACACATTGGCGTACAAGTAAAATATCCCTCATAGTTGGAATTCGATATAACAGTAGGTCGTTGTGCAATTGTCCGGGCAAATTTCCCTCATAGCACACTGTGTGGCGTATGCCCATTTTCATTAACCCAATTCGGAGCAGAACAGTAGGACGTTAAACGACCTTTCATTATTATCGTGATTGTTGGCGAGATTGCAGGTTAGGATTAGGATAAGCATTGCGTCCAGGATAAGGGTTAAGGTTGGAAATGAAATGAAATGAGATGGGGTTTAACGTCCTACTGTTCTGCTCCTAACCTGGGCTAATGAAGACGGGCATACGCCACACAGTGTGCTATGAGGGAAATTTTGCCAGCTCAATTCTTCGTCATAGGTCACGAGATGTAAACAGGACTAGCGCTGATCCCAGCCTTAACGCCTGTAGGTCGGGTGTTCGATCCCTGCATTGGCCGAGAAAGTTCATCCAGATTTTCCGGCGTGGTTCCCCCTTGTCAGTGATGCAGGACGGAGGGCCTGACAAGGACAGTTGTCTAGTCCTTCGGATGATACGAAAAACCGAGGTCCCGTGTATATATTGGAATGCACGTAAAAGATCCCTTGGCAGTTGGAATTCGATATAAGAGTAGGTGATAGTGCCGCTGCCCGGGCAAAATTTCCCTCATAGCACACTGTATGGCGTATGCCCGTCTTCATTAGCCCAGCATAGGAGCAGAACAGTAGGACGTTAAACTCCATTTCATTTCATTTCATTTCATTTTTATTGAGAACTTTATCCACAATTAGCCAAGGCTACGTCATCTGACTTGGTGTGTAATATACTGCATAAATAAAAGAAATTGTATGTATACAATTAAACATACATTATGAAAGGGCTAAATCTATCTGTTGCAGGTCTTCTTTAGGTTTGAAATATTAACTATTAATTAGACATTAATTAACACGAAAAGATCATAATCAACTCTCGATGGCATCTTATCTGTCCGAGTTTCACTGGATTTGAATCCGATCTGCTGTTCAACATACGTTGACGATTAAACGCAAAAATGGATAATCAAGACTTTGTTGATTATCGTGACGGCGGTAACAATGACAATGGAGGCTACAGAGATTTTAAAATAAGCTTTTCTCGGCTTAGAGTTAAGCAATTGGACTGAAATCGTTAGCATAATCAATTTACATCATCTAGTTTTTAACTATTATAGTGAGAACTGTCAGCTCTTTATCTACTCTTGCATAATGTATGTTTAATAAACAAACCTATTTTAATTTTTCCATGTTTTGTAGTCATGTCTGTAATTTCCTTCAGATCGTACTTAGTTGGTCGATTTATTTTAAGTGTTTTTAACAATATCCCGGCTATAACAGCTAGAAACAAAACCTGGAAACAAATATACATATATTGAATACTGAGAGAGAGAGAGAGAGAGAGAGAGAGAGAGATAAAATAATATTTGTAATTGATTAATTTGCTCGCATCTGTTACTAAAGCACCAACAATATGATGAAAACTCGAATTTCCGGATTGATGAAAGAGGGGGGGGGGGGTAATGTTCACTCCAAACAACAAACTAGATCATTTCGAGACAAAGATCTATCAATTTTATTTTGACAATTCACTTGCGCTTGGGGATATTAAGCAGTAGGGAAAACCGGAGGACCCTGGACAACCCATGAGGATGGACAGGCGACCTTACTCATGTACAAGTGGGAGAGAGAGGCGGGAGAAAGAAAGGTTGTTTAACGTCCACTCGACAAAAACTAGGTCATTCCGGAACTATGCGCTAAGGGGTCTTTAGCAGTGGGAGGAAACGGGAGGGCCCGGAGAAAACCCACGAGGTTGGACAAGTGGGGAATCGAATCCACGGCAGTTGACTCAATTACAGACCTAATGATGTAAATCACACGCCTTCAAACCCCCATTAACACGACCATTGTGACGATGTGCATAAAACTTACCTTAAAAGGATCAACAAACATCAAGGATTCTATGAATGAAAGAAAGAATGTGGTCAGCCATTCTTCTGATAGATCTTTACCCCATTCCATACTGTACAATATTATGAAGAAACACGCTAAAAACGAGGCCACAAAAACCAGAAACCAACCAATGTAGACACACCAGGTCGGTAAAATGGCGTCCTTTATCGCAATATTATCAGATATGACCAAAATATCTTCCAATTTCTGACTGAATTCCAGTTTCTCTCGCATAAAGTTCGGTAACCAATGGGGAATCTTTTTCTTCTTCCTTTCCCATGGTTTTTGCTTCGACTTCCGAAACAACATCATTATGACGTAAACAGGAATTGCGGTTAAAACGGAGCAGACTAAAGATATGTACACCTGGCTCGGATTAAATTTGATTGGTCCCAGCTCAATCGACGAGGCCCTCTGTCTGTCCTTGTTGTCTCCGGTTTCAAAAAACATGGCGTTTGAAATCATGCACAAAAACAGCAATGTAATACAACAGCCAACACGCTGAACGCGGGTGAAGTTACTTTTTACTGGTCGGAATAAAACAGACAACCAAATGTGTTCATCTGTTATTTGGCTCGTGGCATGTTCCATAAACATTCTCTTGAAACCACGGATATTCTCGGCACCACAGGCTGGCAGGACTCTATCTATGATCCCTTCCTCAATGGACAACCACTTGTTACACAAAAATACGAAACTGAAACAAAGATGTTACAGTTAAAGGTACATTATGGAAGATTAGATAAAGAGTTGGCAGTTCTCACTACAATAGTTAAAAACTAGATGATGTAAAGGGAATGTGTTGAAAATTTCAGTCAAATTGCTTCACTCTAAGCCGAGAAAACCTTATTTCAAATCTGTGTAGCCTCGATTGCCATTGTTACGATAATTAACAAAGTCTTGATTATCCACTTTTGCGTTTAATCATCAACAGCAGATCGGATTCAAATCCATTGAAAATCGGACAGATAAGATAGCACCAAGAGTTGATTATGGTCTGGATAGGTTAATAAATGTCTAATTTATACTTTATATAACATTTCAGGTCTATTTAAGTTAAATAATCTTCGTTTTGCAATAACCTCCCAGAAATTAAGCTGTAAGCGTGTCTTCCGTAAAACCGAAATGAATTAAAATTAAATGGAGTGTAACATCAGAAAGGTCTAAATACTAAGGCCATCTGCAGATGTCGTTATGGTGGCGAGATGTAAATAAGGTCAGAGCACGTGATTGTTCACGAGAGTGTTAGGGTTAGGGTCGGGGTTATCGCTAGCCGTGTTTACATCTGCAGGTGGCCTTAATATTTAGACAGTACGGAACTGTGGGTGTCCTACTAGAAACATCAACGCTGACGTCATGGGTCGAAAGCCGCTCGTATGTCCCCTGATGCGATCTCCCACTAAAACCGGTCAGATCTTCATGCAGTAGAGGCCATCGAAAGTATAAAATAACGAAATGAAACATAGATCTGGGATCTGTTTCACGAAATTTTAAATAAGATAAAAATCCAAATTTTAGTAATTTGATTGGATAAAATTATATTGATTTTAGTGCTTAGCCAATGAAAATTGAAGTATCTACTAAAATTTGGATTTTATCTTTAGTTAAGATTTCGAGGAAACAAGGCCCTGTATTTTAAGCAGAATTTAAGAAAGTACTATCAATAAGACACAGTGAGAGCTGTAGTTTTACCTTTCTTCATTTTGTATATCAATCACCTCCACTCGGTTCAGATGCCACGAAGCATACATGTCTTTACCGGAATTATCGTGCCATATCCGCAAATATTGAAGATTTCCAAGTTTTTCTGGTACCGCCATTAGAAAGTGCATGACGCTTCCCGCTTTAAACCCCTAATAATGAAAATGGATTTAATTTGATCTTTATAAATATATATACATATATACACACACAGAACGATTAAAACATGGTGTGACATTAATCCTTCAATTACCAGCTGTTGTCCTGTAATATCTTAAGTCTGGTTCTAAATTGGTAGGTATGGTGCCCATAACGCGGAGAACTTGACAGGGATGGTACCAATTAAATAAGGAACTTATCAAGCAGTGAACTTGTCGGGGATGGTGCCCACAAAACAGTTCACTTTGCAGGGATGATGCCCACAAAGCAGAGAACCTATCAGTTAACTTTGCAGGGGTGGTGCCCACAAAAACGTTCACTTGGTAGAGATGGTGCCCATAACGCGACGAACTTGACAGGGATGGTACCAACCAAAGAACTTATCAAGGATGGTGCCCACAAAGTCGTTAACCTGGCAGGTGTGGTGCCCACAAAGCAGTTCACTTGTCGGGGATGGTGCCGCCAAAACAGTTCACTTGGCAGGGATGGTGCCCACAAAACAGATAACTTATGAGGGATGGTGCCCACAAAACAGTTAACTTGGTAGGGGTGGTGCCCACAAAACAGTTTACTTGTCGGGGATCATGGTGCCCTCAAAACAGCTCACTTGACAGGGATGGTATCCACATCAAGGATGGTATCCACAAAGCAGATAACTTTACAGGGATGGTGTCTACAAAAACAGTGCACTTGACAGAGATAGTGCCCACAAATGCATAGACCCCATGCCATCATGGAAATAAAACCACGTCTGTGTTTGATGTTACAACTTACCTTACGTACACCGTCCGATAGTTCACGTACATCTGTGTTGTTATTTTCACCATAGATATCAAAACTAACATTAGACATGGTACTACCTTCTCTAACAAAACTAGTGTACACCGTTATTAGATAGTAATATTTATCTTCACTGAAATTATCTTCTAATAACGTAACACCCCACTGAAATATACATGGGTACAAATATATAATCATAAATTATCTTATAATAACGTAACACCCCACTGAAATATACACGGGTACAATTATATAACCCATAGATTATCTTCTAATTATAGTGGCTGTTAGCGGCCATTCAAATGTCATCTAAAAAGTCGACAGAATTGACCCGACAAGTCGACGAAATGAAGGCGACGATCGTCGGGTTATTTTGTCGTGTCGGCGGGTTGATTTTGTCGACTTGTCGACTTGTCGCCTTCTTCATAAGGCGACGATTTAGATGACATTTGAATGGCCGCTAACAGCCACCATATCTAATAACGTAACACCCCACTGAAAAATACAGGGGTACAATTATATAACCCATAAATTATCTTCTAATAACGTAACACCCCTATAAATTAAAAACAGAGAGAGAGAGAGAGAGAGAAATGGGGTTTAACGTCCACTCGACACAAACTAGGTCATTTCGGGACTAACATATGGTTTAATTTTATTTCAATAATTCGCATGCGCGTAGGGGTCTTTAGCAGTGGGAGGAAATCGGAGGACCCGGAGAAAACCCACGAGGATAGACAGGCGACCCTACTCCTTGTCACGTACAACTGGGGATTCGAAACCACGCCAGTTGACTCAATGACAGGCTTTATGATACAGCACGCACGTGCTAACCATTCGGCCATCCAACCCCCCAATTAAAAACAGAATACAAACATAAATTATCTCTAATAACGTAACACCCTACCGAAATAAACCTGATCAAAATACACAGAATACGAAAACGTAATTTCTAATACATTTATACCTATGGAAATTCCACTGGAGTTGTTGCAAGCGCGCGCCAATAAGACGCCCAGTCAATACAGGATTTAATGATGGCTCTGATTTTATAGTAGTATGTGTAGTTTCTTAAGAAATGAAATGAAATGAAATGGGGTTTAACGTCCTACTGTTCTGCTCCTATACTGGGCTAATGAAGACGGGCATACGTCATACAGTGTGCTATGAGGGAAATTTGCCCGGGCAGCGGCACTATCGCCTACTCTTATATCGAATTCCAACTGCCAAGGGATCTTTTACGTGCATTCCAATGTATACACGGGACCTCGGGTTTTCGTCTCATCCCGGGGACTAGACAGCTGTCCTTGTCAGACTGCACCACTGACAAGGGGAAACCACGTCGGAAAATCCAGATGAACTTTCTCGGCCAATGCAGGGATTGTACACCAGACCTCCAGGCTAGCGAGCCAGCGTCTTAACCACCTGGCCACAGTTTCTTAAGACTTCGTTTACCTCAGGGGGCCACTGTGACTCAATGAATAAGACGTGACTCACTAGCCGGCGGGGGATGGGTGTGGGCGGCGAATGGTTAACGTGCGTTTTGGGTCATAAGGTATGTCATTGAGTCAAGTGGCGTGGTTTCGATCCTCCGCGTGCACGTGGCAAGGAGTGGGGTGGTCTCTTCAGCCTTGTGGGTTTCCTCCCACTGCTAAAGACCCCTACGCGCAAGCGACTTATTGAAATAAAATTGAACCATATGTTAGCCCCGAAATGACCTAGCTTGTGTCGAGTGGACGTCAACCCACCCCACCCCACCCTATCTCTCTCTCTCTCTCTTTCTCTCTGAAATGGGGTTTAACATCCGACTGGTCTGCAGCTATTCGGATAACGAAAACGTGCGTACGCCATGCAGTGTACTGTGTGAGAAATTCGTCCAGACTGCGGCGCTCAATTTCAACTGTCGTTTACGTGCTCTCTCTCCCCCTCCCTCTCTCTCTTTCTCTCTCTCTCTCTCTCTCCCCCTCCCTCTCTCCCCCCTCCCTCTCTCTCCCCCTCCCTCTCTCTCTCTTTCTCTCTCTCTCTCTCATTTTTATTAGCCATCTTACCTCAAGTACATCAAAGGAATCTCTCCATCTTCCCCACAATGCCAGGAATATTCCAATCACAAGCACTATTATAATGACGGACAGTACAGCAGCTTGAGACGTGATGTCGAACTTACTGAATACAGTCGAGAAGTCGATAGAATTTGGAGGCACGAAGAACGAAGTCGACATGACAGATCCTGCATCTCCTTGACAAAGGCAAGTTGTTACACCAGACACAACATCTTTTTCAATCTATTGAAAAAATTTATTTGAGGGGGTTAAAATAACGATGATTATTTGAATACAATAAATAAATACATGTGTACATGATATCAAACAGAAGCTAAATTGAAGATGAAACGAAATGAAATGGGGTTTAACGTCCTACTGTTCTGCTCCTATACTGGGCTAATCAAGACGGGCATACGCCATACAGTGTGCTATGAGGGAAATTTTGCCCGGGCAGCGGCACTACGGCCTATTCTTATATCGAATTCCAACTGTCAAGGGATCTTTTACTTGCACGCCAATGTGTACACGGGACCTCGGTTTTTCGTCCCATACGAATGACTAGACAGCTGTCCTTGTCAGGCCCTCTGTCCTGCATCACTGACAAGGGAGAACCACGCCGGAAAATCTTGATGAACATTCTCGGCCAATGCAGGGATCGAACAACCGACCTCCAGGCTAGGAGCCAGCGTCCTACCCACTTAGCCACCGTGATCCCCCTAAAACAAAGATATATATTTTAATATAAAATAATTACTTTAAATCGAAGCTAAAATAAAAGTTAGGTTATCCATACAATGTGTAAATCCTGCTTCCATCCCGGGAAAGTTCATCTTGATTTTCAGCCGGCGTTTTCCGTATTGTCTGTTGTGCATTTTAGGGGACTTGGTTGGCCACAACGTCTAGTAGTTCTGTGTACACATTGGCGTGCACGTTACAGAACCCTCAATAGTTAGAATTCGATATGAGGGTAGGCCATAGGGTATAATTTCCCTAAACTAGG